AGTTTCGTTCTTGCCAGTCCTTCTGTCTGCTTTGACCCAGAGATTCTCGAAGACTTGTCATCACACAGCTACGCCCTTGCAGCTACAAAGGCACAGGTAGGTCTTCAGATCCTTCTGGGTGAGCGCGAGACTGAAGGCGTAGCTGTGCCTGGCAACGTTCACAGTGAGATGGCGTCCTTCACGTATCGCCTTGCAGGCGTTCTGCGCGACAGAGGCCTGGAAGTGGATGGTGTGAACATCTTGCCAGAGGAGGATCATACCTCTTTGAAGCTCGCCTTGGTTGGGCGCGGCATGTCCTGGTTTGCGAGCCGTGTTGGCAAACTGGCATCCTGAGGCGAGCCGAGAAGATCAGCACGCGGATATTTGGAGGGCTGAAGTATCCAAATCGTTTGTGACTTCGCAGGCAAAAAGAAGGACTCCCAGGGCAGGAGACGTGTATGAACGCAAATTTTAGAAGAATGCAAGTATGATTCATAAGCGCATAATACGAATGCGAGGAAGATAATGCTATAGTCAACTTACGAATAATGTAATATTGCGTTTAAGACTCCGAACTCCGTACAATACTACGAATACTACTACTACTACTACTACTACTACTACTACTACTACTACTACTACTACTACTACTACATAATACTGATAATAATGATAGTATTTCTCATATTATTAATCACAGCTCTGGTGACATTTGTCGACGCTTGTCGCCCAATAAAGAGCCATGGGATGCTCGCCTTCCTCATAAGACTAAGAAGCCTGAGTTTAAACGGAATGCGCCTAAGCCCTGCAGCCTGAACCCTGAACCCTAAACCCTAAACCCAAGACACTTTGAGGGTGGACGGCTCACAGTTTCGGATGTGGGCGCTGCTGGGCGTTGCGCACTCACGCAATGTGCGCGGCCCATCCCTCAAGTCCGAAAGGTCTAGGGCTTAGGGGTTTAGGGTTTATAGGGGTTAGGGTTTAGGGTTTAGGGGTTAGGGGTTAGGGGTTAGGGGTTAGGGGTTAGGGGTTTAGGGGTTTAGGGCTAAGGGCTGAGGGTTAAGGGTTTAGGACTTAAGGTTTAGGGCTTAGGGTTTAGGGTTAGGGATGGAAACAGCCCTACAGCACTTAACTCCCTGCAAAAGCAAGCCTCACAAGCCCAACAAAGACTTAACCCGGGCAAATGAACCACTTAACTTCGGAAAAGATGAGCCCCAGAACCTAAACCCTAAACCCTATACCAAGAAATTCCTATGAGCCCGATGAAGCTCGGAGCTCCGTGGCAGGTGCCATCCTGCTAGCTGCGCTCGTGGCCCTGGGCTGAGTTCATCGGCATCATGCGCAGGGCTCTCTTTGCCATAGGGTGCTTAGATGGAAGTCTTGGAGGGGTTAGGGTTTAGGGTTTAGGGTTTAGGGTTGAGGGTTTAGGGTTCTGGGTCTAGTGGTAGACTTGCAGCTGCACTGTTGGGATGTGTTATGCCTCTGGGACTCTGCGGGTGCTTGCGGAGTAGAAGGTTGCATTGGGTTCAGGGCTTATAGGGGTTAGGGTTTGGGGTTTAGGGTTTAGGGTTTGGGGTTTAGGGTTTAGGGTTTAGGGCTAGGGCTTTTGGCGCTAGTGTGATGTTTTATGGAGGGTTCAGGGCGTAAGGGAACACCGTAACCCTTGCACCTCCCCAAAGCCCCCATAATGACAACCCTCTTTAACCCCAAACCCGCGAAATCTTGACACTATGTAGAAACCCTACACCCTAAACCCTTAGCCCCCCCAAAACCCCCAAACCCTCCCCAAGCAAAAAAGGCCCTCGGCGAGTTCCGCAAAGACGGGACCATGGTCTCTCGTCCGCAGTCTTTTGTTTTGCACGAGTCCGGGGACGTACGGAAGCTATGAAGCCTCTGAGTTTTCCTGTGAACCCTATAAGCCCTCTAAACCCTATGCACCCCAAAAGCCCTACGCAAGCCCTACATAAGCCCTGTGAACCCTGTAATCCCTGTAAGCCTTCTAAGTCCGAAACCTTCATACCCTAACTCCCCGAAGTCGTAGACCGGTGCCAGGTATGTCCCTGTGATGGAGGAAGTCGGGTGTTTATTTCGGTTTTTGTTTGTTTGTTTAAGCTTCTCTTGGTGAGTGTACGTAGAGTTCCTTACAGTTCTTTGGTGGGTGTACACGTTGTTGGGGGGGGGGGGGGGGTTCCGGTTGGGGATCTTAGCCAGAGAAACCTTACTACACATGCGTATAGTTTCCCTTGCGGGGACGCGTAACAGTATCTTTCCGAGGCCTACCGCGTGTTCCCAACCTTTTTCCCAGCGCTGGACACCATTCATTATTCAGCCAGACAAACAGGCAAAAACTGAACCGAACCAGATAAATGGGACTTGGGTTCGAAAACCCCAAAACTTAACTCTAAAGCCTAAAGCCCTAAAGCGTCTGGAGACTGAGACTGCCTGTCGTTGAGTTAAGGGTTTATTTCCCCAGCGAAGTCTAAATACCCTTTTTTCATGGCTTTAGGGTTCAACAGCCCTAAAATAACCCCTATCGCACAGTTACCCTTCTGATAGGTTTGGTGGGGTTTCGGGTTCAGGGCCCCCACACCCCAAACCCCAAACCCCAAACCCTAAACCCTAAACCCTAAACCCTAACCTTAAACGCTACATCCTAAACCCTAAACCCAAAAACCCTAAACCCTAAACCCTAAACCCTAGCCCTAAACCCTAAACCCCAAACCCTACAGTCCGAGGCCTCATGCCGCAGCCTGATCCTTGCGGGCGCCGCCGTGCCCGGACCGTGGCCTGGCTGCAGCGCCTGTGGATGTTTAGGGGTTTTTAGGGGTTTAGGGTTTAGGGTTTAGGGTTTAGGGCTAGGGTTTAGGGTTTTTCGGGTTAGGGTTGAGGGTTTAGGGTTTAGGGTCTAGGGTTTAGGGGTTTTGGGGTTTTGGGGTTTCGGGTTGAGGGTTTAAGGTTTCCGGGTTTAGGGAGTCAAGGGTTGAGGGCTTATAGGGGTTTCTGGGTCTTCGGGTGATTCAGATGTTTTGCGGGTGCAGGGTCTTGGGGGGTTGGTAGGTTTGCTATGAGGCAATAAGTTACGTTTTCGGCTTTGGGGCTTTTTAGGGTTTCAGGGTGTTAGGGATCGCTGTGATATGGCTGTTCTTGGTTTTGAATGAGGCTTTTAGGGTGTAGGATGTGTGGTGTGCAGGTTCGAGGGTTCTTAGATGATTTGGGGGTTTGGGGGGGCCAATTTAAAGTTGTTGAGGGTGAAGCGTTTCGGGTTGAGGATGCACAGGACTTAGGGTTCTAGGGTTTGAGGGTTCATGGGGATCGGTGTGTTTTTTTTCAGGGTTTAGGGTGTAGGGATTAGGGATTAGGCATTCCGACTTTTGGTGGGTATAGGCTGCGGTATGAGGTTTAGATGTGCAGGGTGCACACACAGATCTTGAAAATATGCCTTGGTTAGGTATGCTCAGACCTTGAACTGAGGTAAGATCCCTCTTGATCCAGGCATAGAGACCTTTTTGGGTCCTAGGGTTCAGGGTTTAGGGTTCAGGGTTATAATAATATGAACCCGAACCCTCGCCCGAAAAAATCTAGCGCAGAGACCTGGAGTAACCTGGAGCCCTCAAGCCTATATCCCTTCGAAGGTACCCTAAACCCCAAACCCTAAACCCCAAACGCTAAACACTAAACCCTAAACACTAAACCCTAAGCCCCAAACCCTAAACCCTAATCCCTAAACCCTGAGCCCTAACCCGGTTCACTGGGTTTCCTCCAGTTTTCTCGGTAGCTCTCTTCACAGGTTCCGGCGTGAGATCGCCGAGCTCTCCGGCCGCTCGTTTTGATTTGGTTTCTGCGGTTTAGGGCTTAGGGTTCAGGGTTTAGGGTTCAGGGTTTCCGGTTTAGGGCTTAGGGTTCAGGGTTGTCTGGTTTGGGGTTCAGGGTTCAGGGTTCAGGGTGAGGTGGGTTTAGCCTCCAGGGTGAAGTGGCCATAAGGCTTGTGGTTTCTTTTAACGTCTCAAGAAATCGAGCCAGGGTTCTAGGGTTCATCATGGGTTTCCCTACCACCCCCCTCTCCACTACCTCACCCTAGGTTCCCCCCTTAAACAACCTTAGTTAGACTTAATTATCCTTAAGTCGCCTTTTGTAGTGGGGCAACCTAGGGGTGGGGCGTAGGGGTAGTAGCCCTAAACCCTAAACCCTAAACCTGAGTTCATGGGCGAAGGCAGGAAAAATGGGTTTTGCGTATTGAGATGTTAACCCTTGCACTAACAGCTCCTTAGTAGGGATTCTAGTAGGGGGTTTCGATCATCCCTCTGAAGGACTGTTGGTATAAGGGGGAGCGTCCCAGGGGTTGAGGGGTTTTAGGGTTTAGGGTTTAGGGTTTAGGGCATCTGGTCTTAACAGTACTGGGCTTGAGAGGCGTTTAAGGGGCAGCTGCCAAGATGCGCCTCTAGCCTCATTCAGGCTTTGAGCGTCAGGATGCTTCCGGAAGCTCAGAAGGGTGCTTCTTCGGCGGTATTTTGAAGGGTTTGGAAGGATTCTTTGTAGGCTTTGTTAAGGGCTTAACAGGAGGGCTTGTGCCCCCCGAGGCGCGAAGATTTCGGAGAGTTGCGACCTTGCCCAGAGCCTCCCACAAAGGGCCCATGTCATCATCATCATCATCATCATCATCATCGTCGTCGTCGTCCTCGTCGTCCTCGTCATCGTCGTCGTCATCCATCGTCATCGTCATCGTCATGGTCATCATCGTAGAAATAGCCGATAGGGCTACACAAGAGGCATGTTTTCAGGCCATGCGCTCGGGTTGGTGTGGGTCCGGGTAAGGCCCCAGCACGTGCCGACATCCTGGCTCATCCGGAAGTTCACTGACTTAAGTTTGGCGAGTGGAGACCCTCTTAGTATGCTTAAAACCCATCCCCGCATCGTCCTAACACATGCTTATAGGACCCACCCAAAAAATAGGTACCCAAATTTGGGGAACCCCCCCCAATATGATCTTGGGGGGCGGGCCGTGAAAAAGCGTGAGCAGCGCCATGGACCCAGCAGCTCAGATGGTGTGTGTGCGGATGGCTTCTGGTGAGGACTTGGCGGTCATACCTTGCAAGGAGTTGAGCACGGTGCGGGCCCTTAAAGAGAAGCTGCAGGCCTTGTGTGGAGTACCCCGCTTCCGCCAGAGGCTGCTACTGGATGGCAGGAGCCTGGGCGACGAAGTGAAGCTACCCGGTGGCTTCTAGTGGTGCCCTTTCCCCCCCCCTTTGGTTCAAAAGTTACCCTAAACCCTAAACCCTAAACCCTAAACCCTAAACCCTCATTATAATATGGTTACTGGGCTACCGAGGCTACAGGAACCTGCAGACCTACAGCTCGTACTGGTAAGCTTCTTTGAAGCTTCGGATGCTCAACAGATGCTCAGTCGCCTAGAATCAAAATGTTGACTAAGTTCTTGCCGAGGCTCTTGAGAATAGTTGTGCTTAGTTCCAATCTGGGGTCTTCCGAAATTCGGGGTACCTTCTTGTGGTCCTTATTCTAAGGGAATCCTACGACTTGGGGATCTACATTCGGGGCCCCTTGTTTTCGTAACCCCCTAAGTTGTGCTTATAGTTCCAATGTGTTCAATTTGTTTCTGAGCACCCGGTGAAGGCAAGACTTCGCAACTGCGATTGCCAATGGCTTCCAGCGGCAGGTCGAGGAGGCGCTCTGCTTACCCCAAGATCCTTAGTAGCTGCGTGAGCATACTTTACACCTTTTGGGATACGAGAATCCCCTCTATGACCTGAAAGTGTACACTTTTTTTGGGAGCTTTTCAGCAACTAAGGATCCGAATTGCACGTTTGAGCAGATAAAGTCCTTTCCTGCAACTCCCCTGAACATTGCCGCTGCCTATGGCCACGTGGGGGTCATGCGCTTGCTCCTGGAAGCCCGGGCCATTGTGAACAACCTCCCCAACAGCAGCGCCTCACCTCTCTTACTTGCGGCTCGTGTTGCTGGGTCAGTGTTGAAAAATCACGTTTCTTTTTTTATGAACAAATGCTCATTTTAAAAGAGTACCCCCCCAACAATGGTGCAGGTTGGTCAGCAAAAGGCCATTCGATTGCTACTGAACGCCGGCGCCCGCGCGGATACGACGGACAGCGACCAGCGCACGGCCCTCTGGTACGCGAGCCGGCTCGGTGACCCCAGGAATTGTGGGGTATAAGGAGGGACGCCTAGAAGGGACCCTATTCCCCTATATAGCCCTTATATATATATATATATATATATGTATAATCCCTACTTGCCTAAGTAGCCCCTAAATAACCTTCAAATACTTAACCCCTAAGCTCCCTTATAAGGGTCCCTCCTTCAGTCCCTTGACAGGAACGTGCGCCTGCTTCTGGAGGCGAAGGCCAATCCAAGCACCCGCGACAGGGAAGGGAAGACGCCTCTTCACATGGCAACCTAGGGGGATACTTGGGAATTGTTTTTACTATTGGGTTTAAGGTTTAGGGTTTAGGGTTCAGGGTTTAGGGTTCAGGGTTTAGGGTTTAGGCGGTTTAGGTAGCTATAGTTCAGTATAGGCAAACGGCAACCTGGCCATCGCCCGCCGGCTGTCCTACCACAAATGGTCTCGGCATCGCGCGCAGCCGCAGGAACCAAATGCTGCGCAGGATTTAGGGTGTAGGGTTTAGGGTTTAGGGCTTAGGGTTTAGGGTTTGGGGTCAAGTCGTGCAAGCTGGAGCCAGATTTGGAGTCAGCACTGGAAGGCTTCGCCATCTTTTGAGGGGTTTGTAGATATTGAGGTGTCGGCTTTGTCGGGTTTAGGGTGTCATGGCCAACGGTGTGGGTTTAGGGTGAAGTGTGTAGTTAGGGTTCATAGGGCCATGGTCTTGTGACTCTTCGCGCGATTGGCACCGCGTGAGGACTTGCAAGAGCGCTCGATATTTGAAGCAGAATGCCTCAAGCCTAAGCCCGTGAATCTCCTTAATGATCTACCCAGATCTTCCAAAACCCCTTAATTAAGGAATGTACCCTAAATCATACTAAGGGTCCTTACTATGAATGAAGGTATATTCCCTAATTAAGGGGTTTTGGAAGATCTGGGTAGTCAATGATCTAAGACGCCCAGTAGTACCTGTATCCCTGTTTTCGGGCTGGGATCCCGCACTTACCCTCAGTACGCCACCAAGATGCTCCAAAGATGGTATGCCTCTAAACTTTAAACCAAAAACCCTCGAAAGCTCAAAAGGGCGCCCCTATCTCGAGATCCCCATGCCCTACTGTGATCTCGTTTTTTGGGGGACAGCCCAAGGACCCCAAACCTCCAACGCACCAAGCCTAAAGACCTGCTGTTCAGGGTTCAGGGTCGATAGGGTTTAGGGTTTTAGAGTTTAAACCCGGAGACCCCGCAAGGGTTGTGCGTCACTGGGCCATATCCGCGTCTTCCTTCTGAGATTCTTCATTTTGGTCTGGCTGGGATGGTTGGGAGCACCATCCGTTGAGTTCGGCCCCCCATACAGTAGGAGTGGCAAAATCAAGGTATTTATAAAGGCTCACTTGCAGTTATCACTTGGCCTTTAAGGAGACCATTGCTGCACGGGGGCCGTATTACCCCCTTATGGATAACGCGCGCTGTTGCAGGCGCAAGATTGGGCTAGGAGCGATCCCAATTGTCCCATGCTTCTGATTCCAGGTTCCAAAGCAAGAAATTTAGTTCTCAGGGTTGCTTTTGTGCACATTTTACCCACAACCAAGAACCCAAACAAAACCTGAGGCCCCACCCCCTCCCCCCCAAAAAAAAGCAAAAATAGAGACTTGGTTCAGGGTTTCGGGCTTGAGGTTTTTACCCTAAACCCTAAACCCTTGCGCCCAGATGGCGCTGGCGCCCGCGGGGACTTCGTTGCCTTGCATGCCATCGGCCGGAACGACACCATGAATCCACCGGAGGGTGCGCATGAGGCCAATTTAGGGTTTAGGGTTTGAGGTTTAGGGTTTAGGGTTTCGGGTTTGGGGTTTAGTGTTTAGGGTTTGAGGTTTGGGGTTTCGGGGTTTTGGGTTTTGGGTTTAGGGTTACGGGTTTGGGGTTTAGGGCATTCGGGTTGAAGGTTCAGGGCTTCGGGCTAAGGGATGTAAATGTTACGTGGGTTGGGGGTGGGGGGGGGGGGGGGGGTGATGGTGGTGTTGAGGACCTAGTCTTGTGGAGAAAGATGATGCTTGCCAACTTTCCGCCCCGAGGTCAACCATAGGAAACCTTTTTCCATGACACGCGTAAAGCCTACCCTAAACCCTAAACCCCAAACCCTAAAACCCCAAACCCGACTGAGGGCTCGAGCAAGTAGCCAAGCACGCTCCACTTTGGGAGCGTGTTGACAAGAAATTGCTTAAGAACCCCCCCCCCCCCAAAAAAAAATAAAAAACAAACTATATCGAGATATATATATATATATATGTATATTCATATTCTTCCTTATAAGGGTAATACAGGGATTCTTATTTTCTATTCTTTTGGGGTTCTGAAGCAAATAGTTGAGGGTGTAGAGCTGAGGGTAATTCAGCGTTTGGGGTTGAGGGTTTTCAGGGTGTCGAAGTGATGCAGAAAGTAGTTTAGGGTCTAGGGTTCATTCGGACCCCCTCCCCACCTCAAGTAAACATGCAAAGACTCTGCTGAATGACCCTTGACCCCTACAATCTTGCAGCTCCCCGCTCCTTTAGAGGCAGCGTCACCTCTGAACCTTAATCCGAACCCCCAAGGCTCTAAAACCCTCGAACCCTTGAAACGATATTGGGGTTCCAACAGCTACGGCACCTTTCCTTGTGTCCTTATAACAAGCGACTGTGCTCTAAACTCCTCAAAGCCCTAAACCTCAACCCTACAAACCCTAAACCTTCTAAGCCTAAGCCCTAAGCCCTAAACCCTACAAACCCTGAACCCTAAAAGCCTTGAAAACCCTAAAAGCCTTGAACCCCTAAACAAATTATCCTAACCCCAGAGACCCCAAACAGGTCACCAACCCTAAACCCTAAACCTCTAAACCCCCTAAAAAGCCCCAAAACCCACTAAGCACCCTAAACCCCTAAACTCCCTAAACCCCCAAACCCCCTAAAACCCCCAAAACCCCCAAAACCCCCAAAACCCCCTAAACCCCCTAAACCCCCTAAACCCCCTAAACCCCCTAAACCCCCTAAACCCCCCCCAAAACCCCCCCCCCCCCCAAACCCCCCCCACTTGAAACCCCTACGCAGGTCGCGCGGGCCGTGGGCGGCGAGGTGTACGAGTTCGAGGGAGGCCACGAGGTGCCGCTGGACGAGGCAGCCTCCCGCACGGATTTCCCCTTTTTTTGGGGGAGGAGGCTTCAGGGTTTGATAGGGTTTGATAGGGTTTGATAGGGTTTAGGGTTTAGGGTTTAGGGTTTAGGGTTTGGGGTTTGGGGTTTGGGGTTTGGGGTTTGGGGTTTGGGGTTTGGGGTTTAGGGTTTATTTAGGGTTTAGGGTTTAGGGTTTAGGCTTCAGGGTTTATGGGTTTTATAGGGTTTATAGGGTTTTTAGGGTTTAGGGTTTGGTGTTTAGGGTTTTGGGGTAATTAGGATTCCTTTGGGAGGTTTCAGGGTTTATCGGGTTTAGGGTTTAGGGTAGGATTCTTGGGAGGCTTCAGGGTTTATAGGGGGTTTAGGTTTAGGGTTTGGGGCTTAGGGTTTAGGGTTTCGGGTTTCGGGTTTAGGGTTTGGGGTTTAGGGTTGTAGAGTTTCCCCCGCGGCTATATTTTTAAAGCAGGTCTATGCGAAGAGAACTCAGGAGCACGCTTCCGAAGGCGCGAGGAGGGCAAAGCCCAAGGCTGCGGATCAGCACACAGCCATGGTTGCACATGGTGGCTATGCCCGCTCTGTGACAAGAAGAAAGAGAAACAAAAAGGTTCACGAGCTGCACAACGCTGATCTGCGAGATGCGGCGTTGGCGCCCTTTGCAGAGCGCAAGAAAAGCTGAATCTTTTGGGAGGATGGTTGAAATAAGCCCTATAAAGCCAGCAACCCTACTTGAAGGTTCAAGGTAATTCATACCCCTGCTAGAGCTGTGCAGGTATGTGGAACTGCCCGTAATACGTGCCTCAGTGCATACCCTGAGTTGTAACCGGCCGCTTTATGAACACAAAGAGCCTAAGCTGGTTTGTAGGTTCTTCATATAAAGCCCCTTAGTTGGGTAACCTACAAAAGAGGCAGGTTTTTGGGGTTTTTGATAGGAGTTTGAAACCAAGCGCCGCAAAAGCCTGCGCTCTCACAGCGGGCGGACGCCGGTTTCAGGTTTCGGGTGTAGGCGGCCGTTTTGGCACGGTAACAAGGACCCAGAGTAGTTTAGGGTTTAGGGTTTAGGGTTTAGGGTTTAGGGTTTAGGGTTTAGGGTTTAGGGTTTAGGGTTTAGGGTTTAGGGTTTAGGGTTTAGGGTTAGGGTTTAGGGTTTAGGGTTTAGGGTTTAGGGTTTAGGGTTTAGGGTTTAGGGTTTAGGGTTTAGGGTTATTCAACTTGTTTAAGGGTCAGGTTGCCTTAGAAGCCCCTCGAAACAAAAAGGGCACCCTTTGTATTCACGTAGCTTCCACTTGGGGTCTAGTTGAACTATCAAGGTGTATGTAGAAGAGCTCTAAACTCCCTTAAACCCTAAGCCCGAAACCCTAAACCCCAAACCCCAAACCCCAAACCCTAAACCTTAAACCCCAAACCCCAAACAGCCAAACCCCAAACCCCAAACCCTAAACCCTAAACCCTAAACCCAAAACGCCCGGAGCCCGATGCAGGCGGCGCTGGACGCCTACAGCCAGCTGCTGCTTCGAGCGAAGAGCTCGTGAGGGAGCTTGAAAGTAGGGCTTAGGGTTTAGGTGTTTAGGGTTTCGGGTTTGGGGTCTCCGGGTTAGGGTTTAGGGTTCAGGTTTCAGGGTTTAGGGTTTAGGGCTAGGGGATTAGGGTTCATGTGGCCATCGTCATCGCACGGAGCATGCTCAAAAAAAACACCACGTTGTGTTATGGATAGAGAAAGAACTTTACGTTATACCCTAAACCCAATCTGTGAAGTTCATGTGTAACCTGTAGCCGTTAGCCCAATTGCTTCACTTTGCCGTCCAGGCTAGCAGAACTACAGTCGTAGATACCTTAAACCCCGAGCCCTAACCCCTAAGCCCTCCGCCCTAAACCCTAAGCCCTAGGCCCTAAATGCCTGAATCCTGAACCCTAAACCCTAAGCCCGATAAGCCCCAAAGCCTTATGGCCCCCGGGGCTTGCCACCCACGTATTGTTTGAGTTGCGCGTCGCAGCTGCGAAAAGCAAGCGCGCCTCAGGAAATCTGGGTTTAGGGTTTATAGGGGCTCGGGTTTAGGGTTTAGAGGGTTTAGGCGGTTGAGGGTTTGGGGTTTAGGGTTTAGGGTTTAGGCTTTAGGCTTTAGGCTTTAGGGTTTAGGGTTTGGGGGGGGGGGGGGGGGGGGTAAGAGCAAATCCTTAAAACAGCACTATCTAAGTCCTAAGCCCTGGGCCCCAAACCAAATTTTTTCCATCTCACAGCCTTCGATCCGAAACCCGACGCCATACGTGTACCCCTTTTAATTTCTAGCAACCTTGTGTTTGGTAGGGTTTGGAGTGGGTTTAGACTAGGACTTGGACTTGGACGGGGCACTGTTACCCCTATTCCTTGTTTTGGATTAAGGCTACTCCCTAACCCTAAACCCTAAACCCTAAACCCTAAACCAAAAAAAAAGAGCGGGGTGTGCTCTTTCTTCGCCTCGCTTGCTGAGGAACCTAAAGACCCCGATTCCGAGAGGGCTGAGGATTTTAAGACTTCGACCCGTTTAGGCTTTGGGGTTTAGGGTCTAGGGTGTAGGAGTTGATTTTCTTGGATTTTGGGCTTGTGCCCAGGCGACCATGGTTTGAATAGGGTTTAGGGGTTAGTGTTTAGGGTGGGGGTGTTGGGGTTTGGATGTTTGGCAATGAGGGTTTCTAGCGCTTAGGGTTTTTAGATGTGACCTGGAGTTTGTGGCGCTTAGTTTTCGACCCTTTTTGCAAGACGTTTATGGCCATGCTCGCCAATGCTTGCCAAACACCGCTTTTTCCCAACCTTCGCAAAGACCTAAGCCCGAAACCCTGAACCCTAAACCCTAAACCCTAAACCCTAAACCCCTAAACCCCTAAACCCCTAAACCCCTAAACCCTAAACCCCTAAACCCTAAACCCTAAACCCTACACCCTCAAGCGCAGCCTTCCTTGCCGACATGGCAAAGCTCCTCTGTGTCTTACGTGTGGTGGGTTTTGAAATCCGCTGGGCGGGGCGGGGGAATGGGGCGTCTTAGCTTAGGGCCCATGTTTAGGGTTTAGGGTTTAGGGTTTAGGGTTTAGGGTTTAGGGTTTAGGGTTTAGGGGTTCTTAGAACTTTTTAGCCTGAACCTCTGAACCCCGAAGCCTTAAGCGGTAGACTCAAAGCTCCAAACATTAACTCTCGAAACCCAAAACCTGAACCGAAATCCCTGAAGCTTCAACCCTGAACTGCCCAACCCACCCGTTCCTCAAGCGAGTGAACCCCCACCAGTACTCGGGAGCGAGGCTGTAAATGACGGCTGCCGACAGGCCCCTTCCTATTTCGCGATGCCATGGATTGGGTTTAGGCTTCATGGTGTAGGGTTACCTTGATTGGGGTTCACAGAAGCAGAAGCCCTCAAAGAATTGCATATAAATTGTCAACTGCAGCTATTATGTTTTGTTGCGAAGCTAGCTTGTACAGTCTTGCTTTTGTAGCCCCAGCCTACACCATAAGCCATGAACACTTAATCTAGAAGGACCAGTTGGGGGGGGGGGGGGGGGGGGGGGGGGGGGTGGAGGGTTTAGGTTTAAGGTTTAGGACGAGTGCTCGGTTTAGGGTTTAGGGTTTAGGGTTTAGGGTTTAGGGTTTAGGGTTTAGGGTTTAGGGTTTAGGGTTTAGGGACTAGGGTTTAGGGGTTTAGGGGTTTAGGGGTTTAGGGGTTTAGGGGTTTAGGGGTTTAGGGTTTAGGGTTTAGGCTTTTAGGGTTTAGACTTTAGGGTTTAGGGGTCGCACGTCGAGGTTCTGGGAGGGGCGGCTCGGATTGAGGCTCTGGTGTTCTGAGGGTCTCGGGCCACCCATAAAACGTACCAAATCTTCGAAGATGGTCTTTTCATAAGGAAAGCTCATCAAGAAATATTCCCTAGCCTTTTTGTTCAGGATCCACTATGACTTAGGAAACCCTCCCCCCCCCCCCCCCCCCCCCCCCCACAAAACCCTAAACCCTGAACCCTAAACCCTCCCAATCTGGACTCTTGCCCCAGGCGTCAGGCTACCATGCATGGCACAGCGCGGCTGATGCTGAGGCACCAAAGGGGGCCGACGGGCCAAGCACAGAGCCGTGCCTACCCAACTTTTTGGATAGAGATGCTTGGGCTTAGGACTCAACTACACCCCTAAGTCAGCCGAACAGAACCTTGGTTTAAGGGGTTGTGCATTGTATCCTGCCAACTTACCAGCCAAGGTTCGACTCCACCCGAAACCCTAAACTCTAAGCCTAGGAATGAGAGGGTGAAAAGATGGTTCTTATTGGGTTTCAGCTTCAAGCTGAGAAAAACCTAAGCCGAAGCGCGATGGTGTGAAGTCTTTGTTGCAAGGTGAATGCGCTGACCTGCACGTTCATCCCTAAACCTGAAACCCTAAACGGGTTTCTATCTCGTAGGGCTGAGGGTTGCCTTAAAAACATTGAGCCCACCTTTGTTTTTTTGCTTTGGTGACAGGCATGGCGCAACTACCAAGGTAAGTATCACAAGCCCTTACGAACCCAGAAGCTATTGTTCTCCAGTTTAGTCTTATGATGCCCCCCAAGTGTAGGAATCCTTCATAGCTCACAAACATGGGCAGTTTGGGCTCTCGAGACAGGAGCCTCGAACCTTCGGTATTGGGCGTAAGATCTGCGGCAAACCCCCATTGAACCATTCAATCTGTGGCAAAAAGCCTTCCCGGGATCTGGTCAGCTCTCACAAAGGAACGGCCCCCTCTCTCTCTCTCTTTCTGTATTGTTCTCTCTGTCTTTTCTCTCTCTCTCTCTCTCCCTCTCTCCCTCTCTCCCTCTCTCTCTCTCTCTCTCTCTCTTATTTACTGTATACTAATATATCTATATCTATACTACCATATATATATACATATATATATATATATGTTTTCGGGGGGGAGGTTGGTATAAGGGTATCCCCCCAGGATGTTGAGTTCGGTCTATGCGTTCATCCGTTTGGGGGCGGAGGGCTTACCTTAGACCCTAACCTGAAACCCTAAACCCTCAATCCTCAACCCTAAACCCAAAACTGAAAACCCCTAAGCAAGCTGAGGGTTCACCACCTTGCTGCAAAGTCGCATCGGTTTGCGTAGCTTATCCATGGCACCACCTCGGGGTCACAGGAGGCCTCCCGCGGCAAAAACCCGCCGCAGTTCACGTGCGGATCAAAAGAACTGGCAAGGGCGGCGAACCTCAAACCCTGAACCCTAAGGTTAAGGGCTTTAGAGGTTTAGGGTTTAGGGTTTAGGGTTTAGGGTTTAGGGTTTAGGGTTTAGGGGGCTGCGAACCTTCAACCCTGAACCCTCAGCCTAAAGCTCCATGTACCTAAATAGGGTATACTTGGGCCTTAAAGTACCTCCTATGTAAGGACTTTGGGGCCCAAGAATATCATAATAAGGTACATGGACCCTTAGGGTAAGGTTTAGGGCTTTCGGGGTTTAGGGTTTTCGGGGTTTTGGGGTCAAGGTGAAACCGCAACTCCCAAACCCTAAACGGTAAACCCTGAGCCTTAGACCCTAAACCCCCCTGAACCAAAGACTCTGAAACCCTAAGCCCTAAGATGCATCATGCTGGGGTTTTGTGGGGGACACCCCTTCACTGCCCTAGGACCCCTTTGGGGAAGAATCGGACAACAAGCCCTAGAACCAAGCAAGGTCTAAGACAGGAGGCTAAATACCTC